ACTCTCACATAAGGATGTTGTGATAATAAAGAGGCTACATTGAGTGTGTATCAAGCTGATGTTTGTCGATGCCATCATCACAAGGGGTAACATCTTGAAGAAAAAGCCACAGATGCATTCAATGTCATCATAGAATATTCTTTGTGATTCATTTAGGATCAGAACAAGAAGGTCTTGATGAGCAAGCTGCAGATTCTGTATCTTACAGCTTCATGAGATTCAAGTGAGACTCAGGGGAAGGAGAGCTACACAAGTCGTAGCAGGAAATTAGGCTTGGATGTCACAAATCACCATGATGGTTATCAGGCAGGAAATTATTTATTTTATGTCAATATATGGCTACATGGTGGCTTTGTCGCATCAATGGGCCTTGTCGATCAATACCAGTGGTTAGCCACCTGGACATGCCTAAATCGGGAGGCTCTCCGACACCCATCAGGTCCCGAAATATGCTAAGTTGCGATAAGGATAAGGGTCTTTTTAGAGCCTTTTGGGGCCTCCGAGGTCTGAAATATGCAATCCGCGACAAGGAAATCGCGATTTGGGGCCCCTCAAATATGCTATTTTGTGACACTCCTATATAGGAGTTGCCCGGGTCCTACTTGAATGTACTGACATATCAGTACCAGCAATCAAGATATGGCTCCTGCGAGCAGTTGGACCTGTCGTGCTGTGTCGATATAGCTGCACATCCTCTGATGTTGTATTTCCACTATGACAGTAGGGGGTCTTGTCGATTTGAAGCTCACAAGGCTCTCCGCGAAAATTAGCGATCGGGGGATCATGTCTGCCCTGGGCTATGAGAAATGGAACTTGGCGTGGTGATCGCTTTGAACTTCGAGCTTGACTAGCATATGAGGATAACAGTGAAATCGCCCCATCGCTTGTCATGTCTCGACTCTCATGATCTCCTTCCCCTAGCTAGACTATTTTCCCCAGTTACCGATCGACTTACATCGAAGTTCCTTGTAATCCTCTCGAGCATCTGAAGTAAGTGCTGGTTAACGGAATCAGCATGCACACAAATCATCTAAATGCTAAGGTGATGACTGACAATCAAACACGGCAGATGTGACGCAATTTATGAATGTGGAAAATCGTGTGGGAATGTCAGCTGATGTCTTACATTTGTGGCAAAGCTTTGCCAATTTAGCATTTAAATGGCAAATAGTGCACATTCACAGCCAAAGTGAAACATTTTCAACATGAAATGCCATGGTTGCAAATATATGTTGCATGTGTAAGAAATCAGTTGACATTCACACACAATTTCCCACATTGATAAATCGCATCATGTCTGCCGTGAAATGATTTCAAAAACTGACAAGCCCTTTCACGTCACCCCTGTTAACTTGCAGAAATGTTTCTTTTGGAGACAAAGCCGGATCAATAAAGCACAAATCTTATTACGAGACGGCCGCTGTATAGTTCGTAAAGCGCCGGCTGGCGAACTAAGCGCCCGTATATAGCAAATTTCTAGCGCGATAACCGCGAATCGAAACGACCCTGGCAAACTAATTTATTTCGTGGCAGATAATGGATATGAAGCGTTATTGCGTGTACACCCATATTAAACAGAATATGAAGTGCCGGCTACAGAATTCGTGACCATCGTGTGATCGGCCCTACCACCTTATTCAGTAACATACGAAGTGCGCACTGCAGAGCACAGTGTGTTTGAAGGTGCCATTGATGGGCAGTCACGATGTTACGGTGAGCCTAATTTATTGCATTACGGTAAGCCGCATCTATCACAAGCCAGACTTGATCCCTACTCGAGCAGTCGAAAAGCAGCTGCTAGACGCCTCTCGCAGATTCAGATATCCTTGCCAGATGATTGCGACTAGGACACCACTTCCATCGATATATAGATATTCCACAACATGTGCTTACATCCACGGCCATAGGACTCTGAAAGCACCGCATCCCGTCCGATCTGCGCAGTTAACCAGAGTGCCGCCTAGTTAGTACCATGGTGGGGGACCACACGGGAATCCTGGGTGCTGTGGTTTTTTGTTGTTTGAGGTGTATTCAGCAACTTGCTCTCGTGCACACTGACTTGCATTCAGCTTTTACCTCGCAGCCATGCGTATGCGGCTGAGCTCCTTCAGTGAATGATCGAGGCTGTGTACTCCACGTTGGTTGATGAGACGGGGCGCTCAATGACAATGTGGAGGGTCTCTGCACGCGTGGCGTCTTCATCGAGAGCTTTGCGAGCCGGCTGTGCGTCATGATCATCAGACGGACTTTCAGTGTACTGGCCACAGGTATGACCACGTCCGCGCGGTTCGTGGATGCATTTATGTGTAGGCGCCCACGGAGGCCTTTACTGTGCTCAGCGCTCGCTAAAGTTCTCAGCAACTTAATGCTCACATCGCTTTCGAGTTGAGGCACGATCAGAGCATCGGCATGTGTTATGCGGGACATTTCTTAAACGTTCATTATCCAGAAAGGATTAGCCGTACGCCAGTATCATCTCTCGGTGACCCTGCGTATCGTTCATCCTATGGCCACTCCCACGCGTCATTGCCTCAGGCTGATTCTCCCACCTTCAACATTATAGAGCATAGCAACTTCCAGTTGGGGCTATGCGGATTGATTGCCGGCATATGGTCAACTACGAGCCACAGCGGCCCAAACAGCGTCAATATCGCTCTTCATATCATCATGGGCATCCATCAAGACGTATGGTGATTCTCCATTGACCCGGGAGCCGATACATCGTTGCATGTATCACGGCTTTCCGAGTCCAGAAGGAGAAAACGGCTAGTCATAAGAACCTTTCACTAAATCGTACTCACGTTTGTCAGCTCCTACACGACTGCCGTGTGGTGTTATGTGAAAATATTCGCTTTCGGTCGATTTTCCTTGCCATTTTCCTATAGCCTTGCGCAAACACATGGGTACGGTACAGGATTATGAGAATTATCGAGATTCCAGACTAGTCTGTCTTTGTTGGGTTATCAATGTGTCGCGCCAGTTTCCATGGGTCATGTCGCATACAGACCTGTGGTGTCTTTCGCACATCTCTTCTGTGCCATTCGAACCATCCGCATTGACTTGGGAAATAGATGTATAGAATGTAGACGAAGGTTGTGCCATACATTAATTCACAGAACTAATTTATCCATAATAGTACAGGTACGATGCAGATGATAGAATAGAACCACCACGCACATAGTACGTAAAACGCCGAACAACACACCCAGATAGTTGTGAGAAAAGACATTGTCCGCCATAGCCATTCCATCGCGCTCACGCATACACAACCATTCGACGGTACAAGACACCCCAGCATTACATCCTGCGGATGACACCGATTGGCGAAGGTCTTGACTGACTGACGAGTTGTGTCGCAGGTGCGGCAGATGGAGGAGCGAAGGACGTCTTCGCTTTCACCGAGCTATGGTCTTCATCACTGTCGTCGTCAGAGGCAAATTGTTTCGTGTGATCGCAGTAGTACGCTGCACTCGGGGCAAAGGGCACCGCCTCCTCTGGCAGGTCTTCGAGTATCTCCGCGAAGTCTTCGAACTCCTCCGCATCCTCCTCTTCTTCGCACACCGGAAAGTCTGGGTACGTCTCCGACCCTCGAAGGTGCGCCTCGTCTCCAGAGACCGGGAAGCTCGGCACGAACGGGGGCACTGAGAACGCAGACCGCGAGAGATTGGCGTAATGGGTCCCGGGGCTGTCAGACAACACCGCGTCGGAGCTGTGAACGTTTATCAAGGAGGATGGTCAACCTTGCGCGGAACCACCACGGAGTTTCTGAAGTTACTCTACACTCACTGGTTCGTAATGTCTCTCAAGGTATCCATACTCGAAGACGGTGTCAGGCTTATGCCATGAGGCGATAAGATCGACAACAGCTTCTCTGCGTTGAGCTGCGCGCCACGAGGCATAGCAGGCAGCAGGCTGTTCCGTAGCTGATACCTTTGGAGACGTTCCTTGACCAATTCTGCAAGAGGCACATCGGGTGAACCTGGACTAGGCAGCGGGGATCCCGGACCCAGCAGCGGTGACCTGAACTCATTGTCCTGCAACGTGTTTGATAGTAACGTCAGAGGCCGCCGAGGACTGCGAGAAGTATCATTGCCATCTTCGTCTTCATCGTCAGGTGCAAACGGCGAGAAGATCACTTCCTCCGTTTCCGTCTCTGTGAACAGCTTCAGGACTTCCTTCAGCCGCTTCTCGATTAGAGCTTTCTCCTTTTCGGTCAGTTCCCCGCGAGAGGCCTTCTCCATCTCCAGTGTATCATGCGGGTTTCCTCCCGAAGGTGCCGGTGCTAGAGCCGCCCGGGAGACAGGAGAGACATCCTCCTGTCGCACGACTCGCATCGTATTCCCGCCAATCGTTGACATATACAGCAGAGCGAGAGCTACGGCGGTATTTCTCTGATCCTCTTCGAGGTCTCTCACATTCTGCTCAGCTTGGCAGAGCGCCTTACAGAAACGGTCTCGCTGAGCAGTTACCACAGAGTTGGCAGAGTGCATGCGGGCGACTCGGATGGCTAGTAGTCGCTCCATACTCAGACTCGGATCTTCGTGCACTAGAGGTTCGCCAGACACCAAGTGGACCAGCATGCCGATATGATTCCGAGCCAGCTGCAGACCCAAGTACCGGGAGAGCCTCCAAAGCACAAGCACACATGTCAAAAGCTGCCGAGTGGACGTCCGATAGCGGGTCCTGAAGCGAAGGAAGAGCATCGCTTCATCTCGTCGTGCTGCATCCGCCTGTGCGCGCTCCATGATCGCCTCTCGCCGAAAACGCATCGCGAAGCGCCAGAGAGCAGCCCAGAGAAGCACAAGACGATAAAAGTATTGGCGGTACCATGTCCGAGTGAGCAAGTACGCGTCGACTTCTTGGAAGCGGATGGCAAGGATTTGTCGGCAAACTGCGATCCATTCCGTATGCTTGCTTCTCACGTCCTGCAGAGCAGAGTGGAGAGCTTTGACCTCCGCCGAATGTCTCTTGCACTCATCAATCTGTCGGGCATGCCGACAAGTCAAAGTTGCCAAGCTATCCTGAGCAGAATAGAGTTCTTTCGTCGTCCAAGCGAGCCGCGAGCTAAGCTGACATCGTCGCCACCAAAGGAGCAATACACAGGCCAGAAGCTTCCGAATAGCCTGCGAACGACACACTGCACTGGCGCTTGCGCGTTTCGCGATTGCCGTTTGTGCTCGCTTCTCTTGCTCCATACGAGAGACTTTGTACCTTGCCAACAGTTTCTCACCCGTGATGACATGGTCCATTACACGCGCCTGCGCGAGCTGCTGTTCCAGGAGGTAAATACGGTTCTCCAGGGTCTGCACGGTTCGAGTGAGCGCATGGAAGCAGGCACAGAGGGTGTCGATGTTGACGACTTGAAAGTCTTGCATACAGCCGCCCTTATGGGAGTTTAAGTGGATGGAGCTATCATGCATTGAATATCTCGTCTTGTTCCAGAAGTCGCGCGGGCACAGACCGGCCTGGAGAATGCAAGTAAATTGACGTTCGAAGGGTTCGCGCGTCAAAACGGCTTACCATTACACTGGGACGGAGCGCGTCGCACCACGCCTCGACCCTCAGCAGTATGGACTTGAAGGGTCTGTTGCACCAGCCAATGGGACACAAAGCCAGAGGAAGCAGGCTCGCCCGGAGCGCAGAGACAGCAAGCTCAAACGCTAACCAGACAAATCTACTCCACGCCCTGCATTCCATCAGAGGTATGCCCTGGTGGTCGGTCAGTGAAACACGGGCCGTAAGTTCAATTGTGCATAGCTACCTCCGACCATTCTTCCAACGAGGATGCGAACGACCAAGCTGCTAAAACAGCAATGAGGCTCACGACCTGCGCTAATACGGACTTCCAGTTTATCGAGATTGATATGGACAGACGGAGTAGGGATGTGATTGCGTCGAACATTGAGGACATAGAAAGTGAAAAGACGCTGTCATGTTCGGTTCGAAAGTAGTGACCTTCCTAATTGGACTAGCGCTACAGCCACCGACTCATTAAAGCCTCTAGCAGCTACACGAGCAGTGACCCTGCAAGTGAACCAAATGGTAGGCAGCTAATAAGAGTAAGACCACGGATTAATTGGAGAGTAGATTAACATTTGGGTACAAGGCGTGAAGGACAGACGACTACTGGCTACAATGTACATGCAATGTCGTGCTGATCTAAGCACTGTGGTATCGTATACGAGGAAGCACAAAGTCGTGGCACAAACATCATGGCAAGATGGATATCAATGACAAAACACTGAAAGTTTGGGTAATTCAATGGCATGCGCCTATTGGCGTCCCCTAAACCACCCGAAGCGTGAGCTCTGCAAAACGCTCAGTCAGACGTCGTATATGAGCAAGCCAAACATACTCTACTCACATTGTCACTAACGTGGGCAGGAGGCGGCGTTTCCGGAGGCGGCGGCGGCGTGCCCGGAGGAGGAGGGTACTCTCCGGGGGGATAATGGGTGTTTTCTCCCGCATCTTCTGCCGGCGGCGGTGGGACCTCAGGCTGCGTAGGAGTCGCCTCTGTTGTCTCGCCCTGGAAGGTGTTCTTAGGTTGATAAGGCGGAGGCGGCTCATAAATGGGGGGTTGGTAGCCTGGAACTGTAGGCGGCGGGGGATTGTTATCACCCAGGTACGAGTCATCCCGCGGGCGTACGGGGCGGCTGAAGAAGTAGTTGTAGCCGCCGGTTTGCACAGGCCGCTGCTCGATGGGGAGCGACATTACTTGTCTACGTCTGCGATAGAATAGACTGCAGACGATCAATACGAGTAATGCGATAATGATGCCTGAGTACATAAAGAGTCAGGGCGAGTGATTGCATATATCGGGTGGACTGTGCTCACCGACAATGATGCCTGCTATCGCTCGCGCTGTAACAGAACCTCCGTCATCGTAGTACCCTCCGTCAATCTGAGCAGAGGCTAACAAAGCCAATGATAGCAGTACGACAGCTCGGGCTGAGCTGCTTGTAATGTGCGACATTGTTGAATGGTTGGATGTTGAAATTAGTCGTAAACTGTGTTCGTAAATGAGTAGATGGAAGTTGGTTGATGAGCCAGGTAAAGTGGGGGCCTCAGGGGGATATAAGGCCGGAGCAAAACGCAGGGATGCGCCAGACCCGGCTGGACGGCTCGACGGACCAAGCGCCCGCGTCATTCCCGCACCGGAACCAGATGTGATGTCACAGTGTGATATTTGTCACATCATGTCACTGTCGCTTGCGAACTGCAGCCGGCGCTGAGCAACCTTCAAATCGCAGCGAGCGCGCTCTTTCGCTCGTTATTTCTATCTAGAGGATGCTTTCGCTCTTATTATCGCAGTGTTTGCTTGTCCCGCCAATAGTGCCGACTCAATGAGGCTGCGCCGGGCTTATGCTCTGCCATCCGCTCGTTCCCGACGCCCCACATCTAGGCTCACAGCTCTAACTGCTGCGCACAGTAGTGCCATGCCCTGGCCTGCCGACCTCGCGAATTTGCACTCAGCCAAAGGCAGGCTATTTAACCTGTGGCTGCGGTCTTCAGTAACTCTATCGCATTATCCTGAAGTTGTTGTGTCCATAAACATTTTCCAGTCCTCTGGTTGTACATTTTTTCTGAAGGATTTTGTGAGTAAGATCAGCTCCTTATCTTTGCTCAAACTAACCTTCGCTCCAAGACCTTGACAATAGCACACCCTATACCATGTGCTTCGGAGCAATCAGAAGTTGTTTGCCCTTCGGCCGTTCGTCGTACGGCGGAGGCCAAGGAGGATATGGAGGAGGCCAAGGAGGATATGGAGGAGGCCAAGGAGGTTACGGCGGAGGCCAAGGAGGCTACGGCAATGAATATGGTGGGGGTCAAGGCGGAGGATTTGGAGGTCAAGGCGGAGGATTTGGCGGTCCAGGAGGAGGATTCGGTGGAGGGCCAGGCGGCGGATTCGGCGGTGGACGCCATGAAGGGGGAGGCGGAGGATTCGGCGGTGGACGCCATGAAGGGGGAGGCGGAGGATTCGGCGGTGGACGCCATGAAGGGGGAGGCGGAGGATTCGGCGGCGGACATCATGGAGGGGGAGGCGGTGGTCCTGGAAGAGGGGGAGGTGGAGGGTTTGGCGGTGGGCGCTGCTAAGCTGCGATTGCGCGGTCTGCGATCCGGTGCGCTAGGTCATCTTCTGCCATCGTTTTCGTGCTCATCGTGCATCCTGGCTGCAGTTCACGCTGATACACCCGTCCTTTGGACTGTATATGCCTATTTCCTTTTTTTTCCCATTCACGACGATACCCTTCCTGTGACATTCCCACACGATACATCGTCAACCAGGACATTTTTCAGTTTTCACAGCATAGAATTGTTGTGGCTTACTATACCATCTACTATGTGATCCTGTACCCTCTCGGTGTAGAGAGATTGTCAGAATGGCCCCGCCCTGTGCAGTGCATGCCCATAGTGTGCGCAAAACGAAGAACGCCAGAGAATGATAACATGTCAGCTCACGAGAGAATGAATATTCAGGGCCCGTTTACGATTGATGTGGAGTGGGCCTTTCTCCTGTGGTCTTAACGCTTGGGAGCTGATTGTGACATTTTTCTGTCAGGACTTTCCTGCAGCCGTTCTTGGATGAATAGTGGAGTCACGATGCGCGGCCTATGCTCCGTCATACGTTGGAGCCCAGCCTCTCTTGGAGTTGGTGGTCAGTTCCAGACCAAGCCAAGCTGACGCATATATATCCTCGACCTGGTTTCCTGTTTCAAGCAAATGCGGTTCAAGTCTATCACCCTTGGATACTAACATCCGAAGCCTCATAAAGTAAGCGTTGTCGCTCTGGTCTAATAGCCTGTATCCATTATGGTTAAACATTTTTATTCTGCTATTAGACTTATACTCTTATACCGTAACACACCGAACAATCAATCAATCAACCCTCATGCCATTCTGCTTTCCGTGTTTCTGGCCATTTTGCTGGCCATGCTGCTGGTCATGTCCCGCCTTCGGAATAGGACTGGGCCTTGGCGCCGCTGCGGGTGTGGGCGCGGCCGCAGGCATGGAGGCGATGCATAGCGATGCGACAAGTCCTCGGGCGGGGATGGCAGGAAGAGAACAGTGGCAAACGTACCCGGCAGTTGTACGTACGGCATGATCGCTAGCCTACCTCTCTCCGAGCGCTGGAGGCGGGAAAGCCATTAATGCCTTGCTACGTCATTGAAGCCTCTGTAATCGTTCGGTACGTCTCATATTTCTCAAGACGGTTCTGAATGATGGCTTATGCCTCCTTTGAAAGTTGACTCGCTTCGCGACATGTGTTTCACTATTCAATCGCCAAATCTAATGGAATTCGTTTTCCCAGCTATGTTGAAGTCCTCCTTCAAATGCACATGAAATTGCACGTCTTCGTCTGCGACAATGCTTGCATCTGAAGTCTTCAGTATCAAAAAAGGAACGCCCACCTCGGAGGTTACACGGAACGTTCTAGAGCGGATCACTGAGGGTGACCACATCAAGGTCCTTGTAAATGCTCAAGAACGATCATTGTGGCCTGGACCGCCGATCCCCGTGGGGCGACACGAATCACCCAGCGTGCGATGCTTGGTTCCGATCGCAAGGGGCGTCTGCGAAATTCGCAACAAAATATTTGGCCTTGAAGCTTTGAAGACTTGACCTTGAGAACTCTAATGCGTTGGATGCTTAGATACTTGAGATGTAAGACGTCCTAATCGCTGGCTACAAGCGCAGTTTAGCCATCGAAGCCTATATACCGTCCCGGCCCATATATCATTGATTAATGAATGATCGACATCATTTGAACGATCACGTTAAGAGTCCGAGGGTCGTTTCCTCACTAGCTCTGCTGCCGGCTTAGCCACTTCTGCATAGCACTCGCATCGAAACATTGTCAATGACCATGGACGCTCAATGAGAGCTTCAGCAATCCTAACCTGCAGCTGGCATGGTCCAGTCTCATCTAGACCAGCACAGCCTCTAAATTCCGGATTTGACGGTGCTGTACAAATGCCGTCACTGCTTGATCGAGCTGACTCTCGGATCGCTTAGCTGGAGCGATCTCGCCTTGCAAGCATGATGTTGTTCCGAAATCCAAAATGGGACTTAAGCTGAGCTCATAAACCATCACTTCAGGATCGCTGTACGGCACTTCGGTTCTCCCTAAGCTCTAAACACTTCGGCTGCACGATTTCTTTCGTCGGCACACTCAACGCTGACGACTATGATGCATTATGACCATCATCATCACCTCTCTGGCGGCGCCATTGCAGGGATTGTAGTAGGTACGCCAAATCTTCTCGCACGACCCCCTCGCAAGGTGCGTCGCTGATGGACCCTTCCTTCACTCCTCATCAGGCGTCGTCATATTCTGCTTGATCTTACTCGCATTTTTCATTTACGCCTTCATGCGCGATTGTCGCCGTCGTCCAATAACTGGGCCGGGGCCCGTACACGGCTCTCCGATTATATACGGCACCGAGCCACTGTATCCTGTCATCAGCCGGCCCTGGATGTATCGCCCATGGCCTGGATGGCGGAGGCTGAGGCATGAAGGACCGCCTGTGTATACGTATGGCGGCCCTTCGCCAGCGTACCCTGCGGACAGTACAGCGGGACGTGGGGCCGTCCCAAAGCCAGGAGCAGACGCACAGGTGAGCTTGTTCAACGTTTCCAGTGAAAACCTGGTCGGTCCTGAAAATGCTGATACACAGAATCCTGTGCACCCACAGCCCGCTCATGTGCAGTAGGCTCGAAATTGTGCTGCGCGGGAGCATCAGCACGGCATTCGCAATCTCCACAAATATGATCATAATCTACCCCTCTTCAATCTATCTCTCCCAACCGGCTATTCTGTTCTGTTACCAACACCCAATGATCCTCATTCCAGTCAAGGATCAGAATACCATGGACTTCACCCAGCAATTCATCACCAATACCTACACATGCACCCCAAGCATCGGACATTTAGGGGACGATGAAGCGCATTTCCGTGCTTCAATATGCATGGCCGTGGTCCGACCGAATGAAAACGTCGCGCATCGCCGAACAAGCACTGATTCCGGCGAGAGCGGAACATGTAAAGAAGAGAATGAGTTGGACGAGTGGACGTACTGCCGCAGACTGACGCGCGTCGGATTACACAGACCATTCGTCTATGTTATTAATGGCTAATACATTGTAGTTAATTGCCTTCCTGGGACATACGGTTACCTAAACGGGGCATATGGCTGCAAAAGTCGTATCCTATCGCGAACGCGGTCACATGATCTTCAGCACGCCCGACTGACGCGTAGCACCTCGGAGGACTCCGTCGTTATGGATGTTCAAATGTTCATCGATGTCGACGAAATTTGGTCGCACAAGAATCCAACATATGCAACACTGTCAGGCAGACATCAAGAGACACCTTGCGTGGATGTAGTATGCGGATGATGGACAAAAATGGTACAATGTCGGGATGTGAGATGTCGGTTATTCACAGACACATTGATATACCACTCCAGCTCGCTTCGCCTCGAATCGTATTGAGATACATCCGCTATTCGTGCATACACTCCATGTGACGTCTCCCAATTTGCTCGTTGGCACCGATCCGCGCACACATTCAGCGAAGCCGCTCGAGGTTCACAGCGAGATCCAACAGAAGCCAATCTCGAAGTCACAGGACGGTTGTCTGAGGATCCACCAGGCCACATGAGCTGCGTTGAGCTTTCTTGCGTTTCCGTTTCTTTTCGGGAGACCTACGTCCAGCCGCGCGCCTCATCGCCTTCTTCTTCGCAGCAATCATGCTTCCGACTATTGACGCGTCCGGGTTCGAACAAAGGAGATGGAGCTCCCTAATATTGGGCTCCGGAATGGCGCGACCAGTTACCTTCTTCACCGCATCATTGCTCCCCATCTTCAAGACTGATTCGGGCTGCACAGAAGGAGCAAGAAAAGTCGCGTTCTGCACAGCACTCTTGCTCTCGCGATTCAACAGTGGCTGGGACTTGAGCTCGGCCTTCCAAAGCTCCACCTTGGCTCTGAGCCTCTTCAAGTCGGCAGCGTAGGGTCCTCTAGGGGTACGAGGCGCCAGAGGGCTGGCAACCTTCAAGCTCTTTGGTTCGACAGTCGGGGGCACTTTAGCGGCGGCCGGAGACACTGGGGACGGAATACGGACGGGAGGCTTGCCGGTCCCTTGCCTGTGAGTTCTAGTATTGGACCGTATCTGCTGGAGGAGGAGGCGGCGAAGAGGAACCTTTGCTATGGTAAATCGTGGCCCATCACGAGTGACAATGTTCGGTTCCATCTTACTAGTCTTGGAGTATCCCGTCTTTTCAGCCTGCCCACTGCGTTTCTGGTAACATGGAGTATTATTGGTGTCCTTGTCTGTGACCATTCCAGCCGCCTTCTGAGCCTCTTCGGCAGCCGAGACCAGTGAGATAAATGCGCGAGACAGCTCGAGAGGGGCATCGACCGCAACCTTGGGGAAACAGGCGGAGCATTTCTTGTGGGGAATCACCTCAGTTTGAGTATCGCCAGCAGGTGCATGGACATCGACGACTTGGCCAGAGCAACCCCGGAAAATGTCAGACAAAGGAACATACACCGAAAGAGCCCAGCAGCGAGAGTAGAGAACCACGTCAAGTGAACCAGGCGGTACCAAGTCAGGTAGACCTTCATGAGCAATCCTGACGACATTGAGATAACCGTCCTTGAGGTCTTGCTCGCTAGAGCCAAGATGTTCTGGGCGACCAGCAGGACAGAAGCGCAGGAGCCTCGTACGTATGGGATGCAAGAGCAGCTTCGAGGAAATGAGCGGTTGAGTTCCCCAGTCGCTCGCAGACTCCATACCTCGTACAGGCCGACTCTCGCAGCATTCGCGTCAGAATTTCCAGAAGCCGGTATCGCAGTGCGGAAGTATCTATTCAACGAAGAGCAACGTTCTAGATCCTGGCGACAGCCAAGAAGCCCGCCAGCCGCATCCTTTGTCGTTCGAAGGATCTCAAGGAAAGAAGTACAGCCAAGGCGGATGGTGAACGCCGTGCCCAGCACGGAGATTGTTGCCAACAGTTCTCTGCTGCCCGCAACCTGGCGAAGTGTGAGTAATACGCCGTACATTAGGAGGACAGATAGTATGTGCGCCATGACATGAACTTTGACAAAACGAGAGGGAATATGGAGACGCTATCGATAGTGTAGGCGGTGGACGAGTAAAAAGGAGGGTTGATGTTCAACATTGGTCTACCCGAAAAGGTATCTCGATCACGTTAGATTGACAGTGGCGGAAGCTGATGCGTGTCCCACCAGCCACTCGACTTGAACTTCAGACGAGAAACATTCCGCGCAGCTTTTGCCGTTCAAAAATTTCTACAAAGTTCTGCTCATCGTTGCTGTGTTCAGAGCAACATCTGGACGTTCTGCGACTCCGAATCCAAGTTATACTTCAAACAGCAGAGCCACGTGTCGTATGTCAACGTCAGTCGGGCCTCCGCTCCTCAAGTCACGGAAAGAAATTTGAACAAAAAGAGCTGTTCGTCCAATGAACGCCCATTCAAGATAACGATCGATAAAACGGTGCTTCACAACAGAACCATGAGCAAAAACCATGAGACCCCAGAATGCTCAGACGGATACGCAGCACACCTGATGATCGCCGCGCCACAACTCGGTCCAAGGCGGCGGCGACAACCAGAAGTGCACTACATCCTCCTCCTAACATATCGGAAATTAAAATCCGCGCCTAACGGACCCGTGCCGGAGGAAGTGTCAGGTTCCCCAATGCTTCGTGTCAACGCCACCCTAAACGTTAAGGCGGTGACGCCGCCGTTAGATTCGACGACGTTTGCCCATCGATTCCATGCCACTCTTGACAGCCCGTGCAGCCTCAGATCTGCGCCGCCGTCAACGTCGGAGAACTCAATCGGAGGAGATCCATCAAGGGAAACCATCAGCTGGCGGCCACGTTGTATCGTACCATCGCAGTCAGAGGATGCTATTTGATGAATGGCATTCGATCATCGTCACCTCCGCATTCTATCGGCTCCCCCGTCAAAATCGGCATCTTCGCAACCTGCCAACGCACTGGTCGGAATTCCGGTAGCATGAATCCAAGATGCGTTGCCAACCCGTCTTCAAAATTGTACTGTATCCGAGGCCGCATTCCGCATAGTGTCGGCTCAGCGCTCACCCGTCAAATCAGTGGCTTCGTCACCCGCCAGCGCAGCCGCAATTCCGGTAGCATGAATCCAAGATGCGTTGCCAATCCGCCTTCAAACCCGTACTATATCCGGGGCCATGTTGCCTGCCCAGGTACTGCCGACCATGACGACGGCGCTCACCATCACGCACCTGCCAGCGCAGCGACACGACCAGCTAATCCATCGTAATCAATCATCAGCAGCGTAAAAGGACAACATAAGGCCAAAACAGTGGTATCACACCGGACCAAGGTATAGCGCGTCGGAGACAGGATATCGGCAGTTCTTCCTCGTCAGCAGGACATCTGCAAAAACGGGTCCTAGCCGGCTCGCGTACGCCGCCACAGCCGCGCGGCGCGAGAGGCCCTCGGAGCACAGGTAGGGATGTGTAGACAAAGACTCGGCCCACGCAGCATCACTGGCAACTCGCCTCCAGCATACGAATGGCCCGATTCACGTCATCGTCCAGCGTCGTCTCCCACTGCCACACCCAATTCTCGCGGATCCTATCAGCGATCGCGCCCAGTGTCTCCGCGGCGTGGCCATTTTCTATGTGGTCCGGCGTGAGGCCGGGGTAGTTGAGCGTGTAGAGCATGCTGGCCTCGCGCGCCTTCGCTGCGGCGCGCTGGGCGACCGGCCGGCGGACCGCGTCGTATATATGCAGCACCTGCGCCAGATTCGAGAGCGTCGTGCGCGGATGGATGAGCAACGCCGCGAGCAGGTATCCATCCTACAATCGCGAATAAAAAGGTGTACCCGTTAGGCAACAGCGCAGCTAGAAGGACGTAGGCAGACTCGCCTCGATGGCCTGGCCGGCGCCGGTTCCCTGGAAGGGCAGCATCGCGTGCGCCTGAACCAAAATGCCGTCAGTGTCATACCAACCACTTCAAAAGTGACATTGCTGCACTAACCGCGTCTCCAAGCAGGGCGACTCGCCCAGAAACAAATGTCGGCAGCCGCGGCGTGACGTGGATCGCCCATCGGCTATACTTTGGGACGCACTGCGGAGTCGATGAGTGTGCGCTCGCGGACTCGAAGGGCTGAGGCGCTGCTGACCTGGAAGAGTGCCTGCACTTCTGGCTCCCATTTGCGAAACTCGTGCAGGAGGGCTTCCTTGGGCACTTCTTCGATGTACGGCGCGTCTAGCGTGGTGTTTTCTCGACTATATTGTGCCCTAAAGGCGGCAAAGTTGATGATCTTTCCTCGGGCGACGGGGTAGACTGTGAGTTGCTTAGTTGCGGCGGTAAGTAAATCAGACAACACGCTTCCAACGGATATGCCGCCTCACCGTATCCTTTCCAAAATACTGAACGAACGCATGAGTTCCAAATTTAGCCAAGTCGTGGAGAAGCACTCACCACTAGAGGCTCTCTGAGCGCCCGATGCCCGGGTATCCGCGCTCGCAGAGCATCAGACGGTATCGTTGCCCTATACGCACAGATCCCACTCCACAGGGCTTTATCAGCATGTCGGAGCTCTTCCGCTTCCCGCGCGCGTCCCTCGGCCATCGCCGCGCCCGCCAGCTCGCGCACGAGCGTGGCGCGCACCGACGATCTGACGCCGTCGGCACCGATTAGCAGGTCGCATGTCGCGGTGGTGCCGTCCTGGAAGTGGAGCGTGATGGGGGAGGGGGTGGGATGTCTGCTGTTTGGTGGTGGTTGGGTGTATGAGACGAGGCGCTTGTTGGTGTGTGTGCGACATGAGGGCGGGACGTGTCGGAGGAGGACGGACTGGAAGTCGGGGCGGTGGAAGGTGGTGAGGCCGCCTGAGGCAGTGGTCAGGCATGAGACGCGTTGGAGCAGGGGAGAGCCTACCGGGAGTCTTGAGCGTGTAGAAGCTCTGGCCTTCGGCCTGGTCGCCTTTACGGAACTCAAAGACAACTTCTGTGGGGCGTATGATTCTGGGGGAGCCCGAGACAAGGCGGACAAGGCGGCGTACTCTGTCTCTCTTCCGGGTCGACGATGGCGACGTTCGCGAGCTCGCGATCAAGGCCCAACGCCTGCAGGACTCGCATGCCGCGAGGCCAGACGCCGATGCCGGCCCCGATTTCGGCGAACCTGCTCGCGGCTTCGTATATATCAACCTGAATGTTATTGTTGCGGGACAATGCGACGGCGCATGTCAGTCCTCCCACACCGCCTCCACTGGGTAATAAGGAGGAGTCAGGAGACTGAGGAGCGGATGCTAGAGGCCACACATACCAGATGGCGATTGTGAGCTTGCGGCTCATGGCAATTCTGAGATGTTTGAAGTTGATCCTGAGCTCGCAAGGTTGTGCGGGAGAAAGGGACGGAGAAACGAAGGGAGCTGCAGCGGATGTCTGGACATTTTAAGGATGCGAATGACGTTGTAGGCTGGAGATAGATTGTTCCACCTTCGTTTACGTCTAGCCGCATCTGCGGGCCCAAAGCATGCAGCATGAGCGTGGGAGCGATCATTTCGCGAAACACTCTGGTCAAGAGACCTGGACGTCTGGCGCGGCGGAACAAAGGACGAGGTGCGGGATGGGAGTGTGTGCAACCCTGCCTGGGGAATCGGGTCAGTAAACGTCAACTGGCGGAGGCGCGTGCGGAGGGACGCCCAAGAAGGACGAATGAGCCGGGGTGGTGTGCGACGAGAACGGAAGCGGATTGTCGCAACGTCGGGCGAATGTTTCCCTGTGCGGCGGGCCGTTGGGTTAGGAGTGCGAGGGACACGGACTTGGTCCATCGATATCCCGTCTGGAATCTTCCGCTGCCCCTTGCCCGTGTGCAGACGGCGCATCTGTTCTGGAAGCCGCCCGGTGCGATCAACAGAACAAGCTAATCTGAGATTGAATACACAACTGCCTCCAACTCCGACGACAAATAATGTGCGCAGCTGCACGGCCCCGTCGCTGTTGCGCGTGATGGGCGCGCGGCGCCACGCGTTCGGATCGAATCCCAGCCGATCCGCCCGCTTTTTCGGCAACATTCTCGTATCCTCTCGCACCAGACCCGCGAATACCACAACGGTGACTTGCGTGTTACACTCACGAAAGACGTGATTATCGAGCGTTCGACGTCATTGGCGGATATTTCACAGCGGTGTTCACACCATGTCATAACAACTTCTCATTCGTTGAATAGCGAAGTTGCTAAGCTCATCGCGAACCCAGTCAGGGCCGTATGGCTGCTTGACGATTAAGGAACGGCTGCCCAGGCATGCCAGGGCCACAGCCAGCCAAGGAAATCTCTTCCAGATCACAATCTGCGCGAGGCCACGGTTTTGACGGATCGATATCGTCGAACACCGTACGAATCGGCAACTCACATTCCAACTGGGGCTTCGGCTCCTTCTCACTACAAATAAGCAAGCCCATTCTCCCCCCGCCGCTTCGCTACACGGGCCGTGCGAGAGACCCACAGAGTTCCGACAGGTTCCGACACGCCTTCCCGTGAAAATCGGCATGTTCGCAGGACACGAGTATATTCATTCATTTCGATGAGGAAACGTGTGTGGTTGCGTGTGATAGGCTTCTCTGTGGGCTTTGAGCGGGGAGGATCCGCTAGCCACGGCAGACGGGACATTTGGACATAATATGCCAGCTTACAGCTAGTCGTAGTAGGGAATAGCATGTCTAAAAGGCCATTCCTATTTTGTGCTGGAAATTCCAGATGCCGATTTGTAATGAATCTATGCGCTTGAGGGATACTATGTCATAAGGACAATGGTAATCAACGTTCATGACGACAGCCTCCCGTTGAATTCGCTCATGCAACGGTATCCATCAAGGAAACTGGGACCCTCAGCCCGGCTGTCCACGGCACTGCTGCCGTACAGCCCGCGGAAAATTAAAGACCGCAGCAATCTGGCTTGTCACTTCATAGACGGCGTTCCACACACTGGGCGGGTCCTCGAACCTTCAGGGATTACGAAATGGATAGTGGGAGCCAGGCGCGCGAAAAGACACAAGGTCTGTCCAATGGTCACTTGCCGCCCATTACGGAGGTGTCACCGCCTGCAACCGCTCATTCTTGAACACACTTTCACGACGGCCGCCATCGACCGTTTGCCAGGAGCCGCCTTACCGCCGATAAAGGCTTGGTGCCGAACGGAGGAGGCATAACAGGTAAAAGTCAAAGCACGCCAGGAGGACGAAGCGTGGGTCGGAGAAGCATCGTGCGCGACCCTGCTTGTATTGTGGCATATTACCAAATCGACGCACGCACGCACACACCTCCTCAGACTGCCCTGCAGGCACAATACGTCCGCTTCGATCCTCCCCGCCCGCCCGTCTCGCACGAAGGGATCGGACAGCGACCCGATGCATCTGCCTGCTTGCCGACGTAGTACGAAATACGAAAAACACCAAACGCAGAGCCGTCTGCGATTGGCTCTTGCGCGTGTGTGTCGTGCGGTGCAGCCGGGTGATTCGTGAATGCGACCTAGGCGAACTCGCTGCGAGCTCGAGCCCTCCCGCGTCCGGTCCTGTCGGCAGAAGCAGGGCTTGACTTCTGCACCCATCGATATGCGCGAGGAACCCGGATTACCTGCGATCTGCCCATCGTAGCCTGCGCCGGACACCACGAGCGGGTATAAAATGTGCGACGATGGACGTGCTGGTGGTGAGTTACCGTCTCGTCTGTCTAGGCGTCGAAGGCTCTGTCACTTTACCGCTCTTGCTCCACCGCTCCAACTGACCTGGACCACCCGCTCTTCCCCCAACCTCTGCTGCCTCACCTGAGTCAAGATGCCGGAGGAAGGCTCTGGAGACATGGAGACCGACCGACCTTTGACAGACAGGCCCGATGAGACCGGGTGAAGGGCTGTATGTGCCAATTATTTTTCTTTGATGGCCGTGACTCCGCCTATGCGACGTGTTCTCCGCACCGCTGAAGGACAATGCATTGCCGTCTAGTACAGGTTGTTAGTCATTGGGCCTCGTATGCCAGCCGACCGCCTCCCTACGACACGAGTCGGAGGCCGGATGTACGGACGTCCCTCCGCCCCAAGGGCATCCATAGCGCGCTATTAAAACGCTGCGACCAGGCCCACCCATCCATCTGCTCATTCCCCGACTTTGAAGGCGCATGCTCAGCTGTCCACAACCGCACCGGTCCCGCACTTGTTCTGCGCAAGATTTGGCACCTCTGCTAAATGTTACGCAAAACGTGTGCATGACTACTTACGGCTCGCCCACAAACAGCGCGGCACGCCGCGACGGTACGTCTATAATCTTCTCACAAATGTGTTAGCGAGGCTGCCACAAGATGCGCCGCAACTATATGGTGTCTTGAAAATTCCATGGCCTGTGCCACACTGCCCAAGTGGCGCACACGATCCAGGATACCTGTATTTGTGAGTCCACTGAGGGACTGTCCATCAAGACCACGACTAATCGTTAATATCGACAGCACGGCGTTACGCAAGATGATGGCCAGCACAGACGATACCGGTCATGTTCAATACCGCTCCGTTACAATACCGCCCTTTTCTTGCAGGCGCAGACGGGCATACTCTGCAACCTCTACGCGCGATCAAGACCCAGGACCGATGGAATCGAGCTAAACGTCTCCTGGACGTAATGAACTAGTCGATTCCAAGGTACGACTGGCCCCTCCTCGATCCTCATAACGAAGGACATAGCAGACTCACTCTTTCAGTAGATCAAATGCGCACCTGGTGACACCAGCTGGTTTGAGGATACCATGGCTAACACCTACAACCTGCGGTGCTCACGTCGTCTATGGCTAGTCCAGTCAGGACATGGGCAGCACACGAACTCACCGCTGTGTAATCCTGCAGAACGTCTGCGTTGGATACTTCGGGTGTTATACCTCATGCACAATAGTCATGACAGCGCCCTCGAGACCAGCGTCGAACGTGGATTAGGTATGTGATCGTGCATTCATGCAATACAGCAGCGCTCACCTATGCCACCCACACCATCCCAGGTTTATATTGACAGAAAGGTTGCCACGCCTACGTAAGTCATAGTGTAGGCGGTCATGAACCCCTCCTTCCCTCCCCAGAAGCTTAGAGAAGAGACAATGCTAGGACGTTTGAGCAGGGAAGCAACGCCTGCATCCCTCGAGTAGGATCGTTCTCTCAATATGCATTCGAGAGCACAGCGAGTTGGCATGAGACAGCATCGCGCCGATCGAAGTGAGTCTTCTAAGAAACAGCTCATCCAGTGCAGTCGTCTGAAGAAAGAGAAACATAAGAAAAGTATTGAGGTAGATATCTTGCGTGAGTTTCACGTTTTTGCGTGTCGTACTGTGCTGAGCTTGACCGGCCAGCGGGGTGGCTAGCTCGGGCTAGCCACAAAATTGGGCGGCAACGTTGTGTCACGTGATCGTACTGTTCTTTTTCTAAAAATATACTGCCGACAGTACTCTAGGCCCAAAAAAAATCGGGAGAGACCCATTGAGTATGTGAGGATGTGCAGAAGTTCATGAAGAAGATGGGGCGGGGCCAGGGGTTGAAGTGCAAGGGTGGGGTGCTTTAGGGCGGGCGGAGGCTCACGTGATCGCGCAAAGACATGGCACGTCGCTGACGCGCTTGTGGCTGATGTCGATGCATGCATTGCTGTAGACGATCGCAACTGCCCCGGCGCGCTTCCATTCCAGTTGTAAATGCAAGATACATGCGATACTAAGCCTAAGCTGTACTGTAGCATGTACCTACAACCCGTGCCGTGCTCCAGGACAGCATTATCCTCGCGATATTTCGAAGGAGAAGTGCTGGAATACGAGGCGCAGCATGAGTACTTGCATTGTATATTTGGATTCTGTGGTTGGAGCTCAGTTTTTCGGACACCAGTATCCGGATATGCATCTGCTAGTGCACAGCTGTGCCGCGCGGAGGCCGCATGTTTGCAGGCGGTGTCCACGTGCTTGCCGCCAGCGCCAAACGGCGAATAAGCTTGATCGATTTTGATAATGACTTGGAAATATCTATACGACAATCCAGACTCAAAGCTTCTAGCGTACGCCTGTCAAACCTTGTGATGCAACACCACTCAGGTAGGCGTCGCTAGTCCTCGCTGTCAATTGCATCGCGAAATACGATAGAGCAACTGAGCAAGTCTGTGATTCTGTTACGCCCGCCCCACCGCTGTTGCTGAGCTCGAAGAAGGGCAACGGAGATTGTGTGGCTCCTGATTGGGAGAGGCGTAGTTGGAGAAGGGGACGGGCAACTGTATGGTCCCTCATTGCGAAACATAGTTGGAGAAGGAAAACGAGGCATTGTGTGGTTTATGGTCAAATGGAGTGTAGTTGGAAGATCAGCGGCGCGTGACACAGGTGCACCACAGGTGCGTGGCTCCAGATCCTTCCATCCTCCTCACAGAACGACGATTCGGAACCACGCGCGACTTTACCGCTGGGACGTACAAAGACGCTCACTCTAATGAGCCCACAGCTCACGAAATCGAAGAATGTACATCGCTGCGGAGAAGACGCCTGGCGTCAATACGGCACTGATTATCAATGCTGCTGTGTGCCATCCTAGGATGAATGTGTGAGCAAACCTACGAAAAGACGCACAGGTCCGACCGCATAAATGGACCATGCATGCGTACCTCTCCTCATCCTCTCGACTCCCCATAGTTCACACACAATGGCACAGCAGAAGGCTCTTCTCCTCATGTCCAAGCAGGGCCCGTTTGCCGTTGGGACAGTACCCATACCGAAGCCTGGCCCAGGAGAAATCCTGGTCAGAGTTGATGCCACGGGACTGAATCCAGTCGATTGGAAAATCCAAACATACGGAGTCTTTATTGAGAAGTTTCCGGCTGTGCTGGGCCTTGACATTGCGGGCACGGTGGAGGAGCTCGGCGAAGGTGTTACCGGCTTTGCCCAAGGCGACAGAGTGTATGTCCCCCGCTGTGTAACTCGTGAAAAACACCAGCTGATTGGCATACACAGCCTGTCTCAGGGAACGCTTGGGGACAACGAGCGTTCCGCATTCCAGCAGTTCGCTCTGATAAGTGCTGACCTTACCGCCAAAGTGCGCGATTCCTCGCCACCTGCTGGTCTTATACTGAGCAGAATTGGTCTCTTTGCTAGGTACCGAAGAACATGTTGATAGAGCAATTAGCTACCATCCCTCTCGGCTTGTCGACTGCTGCTATCGGCTTGTTCCACTATACCGCCAAAAGTGGAAGCGTTGGCTTGTATCCTCCCTGGGAAGAGGGTGGCGAAGGCAGGTACGCCGGCAGACCCATCATCATTATGGGCGGCTCGAGCTCTGTCGGCCAGTTTGGTATGCGTGAATTTATCGCCTTCTCAGGGTATTCGGGACTTACGTCGGACTGCAGCCATACAGCTAGCCAAGTTTGCCGGCTTCTCTCGTATCATGGCGACCTCTGCTGTCCATCATACGGACTGGCTTAGAACGCTCGGCGCGACTCACGTTGTCAACCGTCGCCTCGCCCCTGAGGTGGTGCGAGGGGAGATGAAGCGGATGAGCGCTGGACCGGTCGAGGTCATTTTTGATGCGGTCTCCGAGCCCGACACGCAAAACTTAGCATACGATATGCTGGCACCTGGGGGCGTCCTGCTCATCACGGGCAATCCAGCGGTTGACGAGGCGAGACTGAGCCAGAGCAATGGCAAGCGGATCGAGCAAGTCTACGGCAACATACACGTCCCCCAGAACCGGGAACTTGCGGTGAGCTTGTTTTCGAAGTTGACGCCACTCCTGGAAAAGCGCATTATCAGAGTAAGTGCAGAGCGTGTTTAACCATTCATTTCAAACGTTGACTGACTATTATTGTGTAGTCGAACCGCTTCAAGGTCGTGCCAGGTGGTCTAGAGGGCATTATCGGCGGACTGGAAGAACTGAAGAAGGGGGTGAGCAACATGAAACTAGTCGCACATCCTCAGGAGGAATCATAAAATCAGCAATGCATTCGGAGAAGATCATGCGTGTATTTGGTTTCCGACTATTAGTTATACATGTAGCGCGGGCTATCCGAAGCAGCGAAGTCCTTCGAGCCTTATTTTATAACGTTCTTCATGATATTCCGGTAAGTGCCCCCAGCCTGGATGACCGATGCTCAGCGCTCGTTGGGTAGTGTCGGGAGGCTCCTCTACTCTGGATCAACCCGCTCTGCCAGTGGAGCTGATCCGTTTTCTGATACTCCTTTAGCGCTCTTTGCAACAGCAGATCATGCAGCGCAAAGCCGCTTCAAGAGTCTCAAGAACGCGGCTGAGACAGTAGGCAGATACGGTCTTGCGTTTTGCATTACTAGTGGCTTAGCCCACAATTGTTTCACGTGATCGCACATAGTCGCGGCGCGCCGCCGACGCGCTTGATGCCTGTCCTGGAACGTCCGACCAACTGCCCTAATCGCGACACAAATCCTGCTCCAGGTCAATGTTGTCCTCGTGATATCTCTAAGGAAAAGTTCAGGAACACCAGGCACAGCATGACTACAGGCTTTTAATCTCGTAGCTTGCACTCAGCTGCAGGTAATCAAGTGTAAATCTGCTGGTGTAGTGTACTGCGCGGGGCCACAGGTTTCCATTGGGCGTACATGTGACCGCCAGCGCCAAACGCTCCTGGCAGGCTCGATCGACTTTGATCTGATATACGACGAGTTATCGCGTTTCAATGTCTGCTAGCATATACCTGTAGTGGTGCAACGCCATTCCAATATCCGCCACTCGTCCCCGCTGTCAATTGCATCGCGGAATGCGATAGAGCAAGTCCGATTCTCGTGCGTCCGCTCGCCGCTGTTGCTGAGTCATGGCTAGGAGAAGGGGAACGGGGAACGATGTGGATCCTGATTGGGATAACGCGCGTGACAGGGGTTCGTGGCTCCAGATCCTTCCATCCTCCTCGCAGAACGACGATGCGAAACAACACGAGACTTTACCGCTGGAACGTACAAAGGCACATCACGAAATCGGAGAACGTATATCGCTGCCGAGAAGACGCATGGCGTCAATATGGCGCTGATTATCAATGCTGTCGTGTGTCATCCTAGGATGACAGTGTGAGCAAACCTTACGGAAAGACGCATAGGCTCAACCACATAAATAGACCCTGCATGCTTACCTCTCTTCATTCTCTTGACTCCGCATAGCTCATACACGATGGCACAGCAGAAAGCCCTTCTCCTCGCGTCCAAGCAGGGCCCATTTGCCGTTGGGACAGTCCCCATACCGAAGCCTGGCCGAGGAGAAATCCTGGTCAGAATTCAGGCGACGGCACTTAATCCAGTCGATTGGAAAATCCAGGCATATGGAATCTTTATCGACAAGTTTCCGGCTGTGCTTGGCACCGACATTGCGGGTACGGTTGAGGAGCTGGGAGAAGGTGTGACCGGCTTCGTCAACGGCGACAGAGTGCATGTCCTTCGCTCTGTGTCTCGTCAAGAACACTGGCTGATTCGATATGTAGCCTGTCTGAGGGAACGATTGGGGACAGCGAGCGCTCCTCATTCCAGCAGTTCGCTCTGATAAAGGCTGACCTCACCGCTAAGGTGCGCGATTCCTCGCCACCTGCTGACTTTATAATGAGCAGACTTGGTCTCTTTGGCAGGTGCCGAGCACTGTGTCGCTTGAGGAGGCATCTACTATCCCTGCCGCTTTAGCAACCGCCGCCATCGGCCTCTTCCAACACAATGCCAAAAGTGGAAGCGTTGGCTTGTATCCTCCCTGGGAAGAGGGCGGCGAAGGGAAGTACAGCGGCAAGCCCATCGTCGTTCTGGGCGGCTCGAGCTCTGTTGGCCAGTTCGGTACGCATGAATCCATCGGCTTCTCAGGGGTATCCGGGACTCACGTCGGACTGCAGCCATCCAGCTAGCCAAGTATGCCGGCTTCTCTCCCATCGTCACGACCGCCTCTCTGCAGAACGCGGAGTGGCTGAAAGAAATTGGCGCGACTCACGTTGTCGACCGCCACCTCGACTCTCAGGCGGCGTTCGCGGAGGTATCGCGGATCACTTCTGCGCCGATCGAGGTCGTTTACGACGCAATCGGAGAGCCCGGCACGCAGAACCTAGGATACGATTTCCTGGCACCGGGAGGTGTCCTCCTCATTGTGTTGAGCGAATCGGTTGACAAGGCGAAGTTGAGCCCGAGCAAGCGGATCGAGCACGTCTACGGAGTCTTAGACATACCTCAGAATCGGGCATTTGGTGCGACTTTGTGCTCGAAGCTGACGGTACTCCTGGAAAATCGGACTATCAAGGTAAGTGCAAAGCATGTTTGACCATTCATCGTACGCATTGACTGACTATGATTGTGTAGCCGAACCGCGTCAAAGTCCTGCCAAATGGTCTAGATGGCATTATCGGTGGACTGGAAGAGCTGAAGGAGGGGGTGAGCAACGTAAAGCTAGTCGCACATCCCCAGGAGGAAGTGTAAAATCATGCATGTATTTGGTTTCCGACTATTAGTTGTACATGTAGCGTGAGCTATCGGAAGCAGCGAAGTCCCTCGAGCTTCGAGCCTTATTCCATAACGTCCTTCATGTCATTTGGAGCCTAGCAGTACTACGTTTATTGATGGATTTGGCCACGCATTATTAGAATTTTCCAAAATGGTCTGCGCGACATTCGAGCCAATCCCCGTCGCTCTGGAGTTGATCCGTTTTCTGATACTCGTTCAACGATCAAGGCAGGTGTCTTGCGTGAGCTCACCATTTTGCATCGTGAGTGGCTTAGCCCACAATGGCCACCCGCTTCCCTCGACGATGCATGCGATGATAAGTATAGTCTATACTACAACGTTTACTCACGACACACGCCGTGCTCCAGATTAATATTGACCTCTATCTGCAAGCTTGATTGTGCTTAAATTCACTATATAGCGCGACGCAACACAGTATAGCGACTGGTAACAATAAGAGTGCAATCCTGACTTGCAGATGACTCGTGATGCCTCTGAGGAAAAGTACAGGAATGTGAGGAATAGCATGACTACAAGCTTTCAATCTCGTAGCTGGCAAGCGCAATGTGCCGCGCGGGGCCACAGGGAAATGGATACCACCAGCGCCAAACGCTGGCAGGTTCAACGATGTTTGATCTATACAACGATGTATCCCGATTCAACGTCTGCTAGCATATTCTTGTCACGCTCAACTGTGGTGCAACACCATCGAAATATCCGCTACTCGTCCCCGCTGTCAACTACATCGTGGAATGCGATAGAGCAATCCTGTGGTTCTCTTGCGTCCGCCCGCCGCTGTTGCTGAGTCATAGCCCGGGGAAGGGAGAACGGAGAATGACGTGGATCATGATTGAAATAACGCGTAGTTGAGAGGATAAGGGGCGCATGACGCAAGTTGATGACTCCAGATGCTTCCATCCTCCTCACAAAAGAACGATGCGAAAGGACACGAGACTTTACCGCTGGGATGTACAAAGGCACTTATTCTAATGAGCCCAGAGGTCGCGCAATCGGAGAACATATTCAGTTAACTACATACCCGAGATGTCGTATGACGTCAGTACGGCGCTGGATGTCGATCATCTTGTCATCATAGATGAATGTGTAAGCAAACTCACGGAAAGGCGGATAGGTCCCACAGCATAAATAGACACTGCGCAGGTGCGTCTCTTCATCCTCTCGTTTCGCAAAGCTCATACACGATGGCACAGCAGAAAGCCCTTCTCCTCACATCCAAGCAGGGCCCGTTTGCCGTTGGGACAGTACCCATACCGAAGCCTGGCCGAGGAGAAATCCTGGTCAGCATTCAGGCCACTGCACTTAATCCAGTCGATTGGAAAATCCAAGCATACGGATTTGGTATCGAGAAATTCCCAGCTGTGCTCGGTGCCGACATTGCGGGTACAGTGGAGGAGCTGGGAGAAGGTGTGATTGACTTCGTCAAAGGTGACAGAGTGTATGTCCCCCGCTGTGTAGTTAAAAAACACCAGCTGATTGGCATACACAGTCTGTCTCAGGGAACGTTTGGGGACAGCGAGCGCTCCTCATTCCAGCAGTTCGCTCTGGTCAACGCTGACGTTACCGCTAAGGTGCGCGATTCCTGGTCACCTGCTGGTCTTTTACTGAATAGAGTGCAATTCTCTTTGGCAGGTGCCGAGCAATGTGTCGCTTGAGGAGGCATCCACCATCCCTCTCGGCTTAGCAACCGCCGCCATCGGCTTGTTCCAGCACACCGCTCAAAGTGGAAGCGTTGGCTTGTATCCTCCCTGGGAAGAGGGCGGTGAAGGAAAGTACAGCGACAAGCCCATCGTCGTTCTGGGTGGCTCGAGTTCTGTTGGCCAGTATGGTATGCGTGAATCCATCGCCTTTGAAGAGAATCCGGACTTACGTCGGACTGCAGCCATCCAGCTAGCCAAGTATGCCGGCTTCTCTCCCATCATCACGACCGCCTCTCTGCAGAACGCAGAGTGGCTGAGAGACATCGGCGCGACTCACGTTGTCGACCGTCACCTCGACTCTCAGGCGGCATTCGCAGAGGTGTCGCGCATTACTTCTGCGCCGATCGAGGTCGTTTACGATGCGATCGCGGAGCCCGACACGCAGAACCTAGGATACGATCTTCTGGCACCGGGGGGCGTCCTCCTCATCACGCTCGACGAAGCGGTTGACAAGGAGAAGCTGAGCCCGAGCAAGCGGATCGAGCACGTCTATGGAAATGTAAACATACCTCAGAACCGGCCATTTGGTGCGAGTTTGTACTCGAAGCTGACGGTACTCCTGGAAAAGCGCGTTATCAGGGTAAGTGCAGAGCGTGTTTGCTCGTTCATCTTACACGTTGACTGACTATGATTGTGTAGCCGAACCGTGTCAAAGTCCTGCCAAACGGTCTAGAGGGCATAATCGGTGGACTGGAGGAACTGAAGGAGGGGGTTAGCAACGTGAAGTTAGTCGCACATCCCCAGGAATCGTAAAATCAGAAAGAGCTTGCATTCGGAGAAGATCATGCGTATATTTTGTTTCCGACTATTAGTTGTACTTGTAGCGCGAGCATCGGAAGCAGTGAAGTCCTTTGTGTCTTATTTTAGAACGTTCTTCATGTCATTTGGAACCTGGAAGTACTACGTCTAGTGATGGGTTAAACCACACATTACCAGAATTCCAAAATGGTCTGCCCGACATTTGAGCCTCTCACGGCAGACATGATGCGATTTTATCAATGTGGGAAATTGTGTGTGAATGTCGACTGATTTCTTACACATGCGACAAATACTTGCAACTTAGCCTAACACTGTTCCACGTGAGTACCCTGACGCGCTTGTGGCTGATGTTGATGCCCTTGCCGTCCACCAACTGCCCCGCGCTTCCCCGTCAGATGTAGATGCAAGATGTATGCGATGGTAAGTATAGACTGTACTAAAATACTTGCTCACGACACACGTCGCGCTCTAGGTTATCGGTCATCTGCAAGCTTGATTGTGCTAAATTCGCTATATGATAGTGCGATATAGCACAATGTAGCCGCTGATAACAATAGTAGCACAATCCTGACTTGCAGGTGGCCTCGTGATACCTCTAAGGAAAAGATCAGGAATACGAGGCGCAGCACGACTTCAAGCGTTCAATCTCGTAGCCTACGCTCAGCAGCTGGTAATCGAATATACATCTGCTAACGCAGCATGCCGCGCTAAAACCCGGGTCACAGGCTTCCAGTTGGCGCATATACCGCCAGCGCCATTGGTAGACCTATACGATGATCCATCGCTCCTCAACGTATGTCTGCTAGCATATACCTGCCACGCCAAGTGGTGCAACATCATTCAAATATCAGCCACTCGTCCTCGCTGTCAACTGCATCGCGGAATGCGATAGAGCAATCCTGTAGTTCTCTTGCGTCCGCCCAATGCTGTTGCTGAGTCATAGCTCGGAGAAGGAGGATGATGCAGATCCTGATTGAGATAATGCGTAGTTGGGAGGATAAGGAGCGCATGACACAGGTTCTTACAGAATGACGGTGCGAAACAACACGAGACTTTGCCGCTGGGACGGACAAAGGCACTTACTCTAATGAGTCGAGAGGCCACGCAATCGGAAAACGTATCGAGTTGCCCGAGATGTCGTATGGCGTCAGTACGGCGCTGCATGTCGATCATCTTGTCATCCTAGATGAACGCGTAAGCAAACTCACGGAAAGGCGGATAGGTCCCACAACAGAAATAGACCCTGCGTAGGAGCCTCTCTTTGTCCTCTCGATTTCGCGAAGCTCATACACAATGGCACAGCAGAAAGCCCTTCTCCTCACATCCAAGCAAGGCCCGTTTGCCGTTGGGACAGTACCCATACCGAAGCCTGGCCCAGGAGAAATCCTTGTCAGAATTCAGGCCACTGCACTTAATCCAGTAGATTGGAAAATCCAAGCATACGGATTCCGTATCGAGAATTTTCCGGCTGTGCTCGGCGGTGACATTGCGGGCACGGTGGAGGAGCTGGGCGAAGGTGTGACCGGCTTTGTCAAAGGCGACAGAGTGTATGTCTCTCGCTGTATAGTTCGTGAAACACACTAGCTGATTAGCGGCCCACAGGTTGTCTCAGGGAACGATTGGTGACAGCGAGCGCGCCTCATTCAAGCAGTTTGCTCTGATAAACGCTGAAGTTACAGCTAAGGTGCGCGCTTCATTGCCGCCTGCTGACCATATACTGAACAGAGTTGATGTCTTTGCCAGGTACCGAGCAACGTGTCGCTTGAGCAGGCATCTACCATTCCTCTCGGCTTAGCAACCGCCGCCGTCGGCTTGTTCCAACACAATGCGAAAAGTGGAAGCGTTGGCTTGTATCCTCCCTGGGAAGAGGGCGGCGAAGGAAAGTACAGCGGCAAGCCCATCGTCGTTCTGGGCGGCTCGAGTTCAGTTGGCCAGTATGGTACGCGTGAATCCATCGCTTTTCAGGGGTATCCGGGACTTACGTCGGACTGCAGCCATCCAGCTAGCCAAGTATGCAGGCTTCTCTCCCATCATCACGACCGCCTCTCTGCAGAACACGGAGTGGCTGAAAGAGATCGGCGCGACTCACGTTGTCGATCGCCACCTCGACTCGCAGGCGGCGTTCGCGGAGGTGTCGCGGATCGCTTCTGAGCCGATCGAGGTCGTTTACGACGCGATCTCCGAGCCCAACACGCAGAACCTAGGATACGATCTCCTGGCACCAGGAGGCGTCCTCCTCATCACGCTCAACGAAGCGGTTGACAAGGCGAAGCTGAGCCCGAGCAAGCGGATCGAGCACGTCCACGGAAACGTAAACCTATCTCATAACCGGCCATTTGGTGCGAGTTTGTACTCGAAGCTGACGGCACTCCTGGAAAAGCGCGTTGTCAGGGTAAGCGCAGAGCGTGTTTGGCCATTCATTCAACACCTCGACTGACTGTGATTGTGTAGCCGAACCGTGTCAAAGTCCTGCCAAACGGTCTAGAGGGCATTATCGGCGGACTGGAAGAACTGAAGAAGGGGGTGAGCAACGTGAAGTTAGTCGCACATCCCCAGAAATCGTAAAACGAGAAAGAACCTGTATTCGGAGAAGACCATGCGAATATTTTGTTTCCGACTATTAGTTGTACATGTAGCGCGAGCATAGGAAGCAGTCAAGTCCTTCGAGCCTTATATTTTAGCGTTCTTGATGTCAAATGAACCCATGTCTAGCACATTAGCTCTGATTGATTTGGCCACACATTACCAGAATTGCTGCCGGCAGGTGGCCAGCCTGGATGAACGGCGCTCAGCGCTCATTAATCATTGGGCAGTGTCGTCAACTACGACGACTTTGAGCCTCTGGATCCCGATCCACAGCCCCCTCTCTCTGGAGTTAATCCGTTTCTGCAAATCTTTCAACGTTCCTTGCAACAAGTAGACAGCACTCGCTTGCTCGTGCACAACTGCCACAACTCTCTGTCCGAAGTATGCCGAATCCTTTATACAACGATCTTCCCTGGAGGTGGAGCCGTTGAGGTGCAGATGAGGCGGAGGCAAGATCGTGCGCGGTTCCAGATCGTTCTATCCACCCGGGAGGAGCGCATGAGTTCGCCAGGCTAGACCGCTGCGGCCGACCAAGACGTACCAAGCCTGCAATCTAGCACCCGACAGGGGAGCTGGAACTCCGCTTTCAATTCGCCCGCACCGGCGGACAAATGTCATATAGCGTCAGTGCGATGCTGTACGGCTGCATTCCCCCTGGCTGGATATGCCCCAGCACGGTCCACAGCGAGCTATGGGCCATCGCATATAAGGTCTCCCCGAACATATACCCCCCTTTCCACAGCATCTTCATCGCGAAACGCAACCATCATGTCAGAACAGAAGGCACTCTTCCTCACGTCCAGACGAGGCCCCTTTGCGATAGGGACCGCGCCCATACCGAAGCCCGGTCGTGGACAGCTCCTGGTCAAGATTGAGGCAACGGCGCTCAATCCTGTCGATTGGAAGATTCAAGCATATGAGATCTTCATTGATGACTTCCCTGCGGTCCTCGGCACGGACATCGCAGGAACGGTGGAGGAATTGGGCGAGGGTGTGACGGGGTTTGTCAAAGGAGACAGAGTGTGCGTGATTGGCTATATGCGCTGCGAATTTCTGGCTCACGATGCGCGTAGTCTTTCTCAGGGGTTGTATGGTGACAACGAGCAATGCAGCTTCCAGCAATATACTTTGACCAATGCAGTCGTCACGGCTAAAGTAAGCGATTATTATCTGCGATGCCATTGCAGTATTCACAGTGCCTCGTTCCGCAACAGATACCGGATAATGTGTCGTTCGGTCAAGCAGCTACGGTTCCGCTGGGTCTGGCTACGGCCGCAATTGGCCTGTTCAATCGCAAGGCTAAGACAGGGAGCGTCGGGCTATATCCTCCATGGGAGGAGGGCGGAGAGGGGAAGTACAAAGGCAAACCCATTGTCATTCTCGGAGGGGCAAGTTCTGTGGGTCAATACGGTGTGCAAAACGTTAGGTTTACTCCGACTTGCTCGCACTGACTATCAGGGCTGAAGCGCTACAGCTGGCAAAATACGCGGGTTTCTCCCCTATCATCTCGACTGCGTCGCTATGGCACACCGGGTGGCTCAAAGACAGGGGCGCGACACACCTCGTCGACCGCCATCTCCATAGAAGTATTACGCTTGCTGAGATAGGGCTCATCACCGAAGAGCCGATCGAGGTGGTGTTTGACGCGGTCTCGGAGACAGGCACACAGACTCTAGGATACAGTCTGCTCGCTCCCGGAGGCTGTCTCCTAACTACCTTGCCAACAGCAGTGGATCAAGAGGTTGTGAAGATTACTCCAGAGAGGCGAATTGAAGAAGTTTACGGTAACGTGAATGTGGCCGAGAGTCGAGAATTGGGTATTAGCTTGTATTCAAAGCTCACGGAACTACTAGCGAAGGAGGTCATCCGGGTGAGTACCTGTCTGCAGTGTTCGGAGTGCTAGCTGATCGTCATTGTCTACGAAACAGCCGAATCGCGTCAAAGCGTTGCCGAATGGGTTGGAGGGCATCATCTCGGGATTGCAGGAACTGAGAAAGGGCGTTAGCGGCATCAAGCTGGTTGCATTCCCTCAAGAAACAAAGATCCGAGGAACAGCGGTGATCCGGAAGTAATCCACAACATAACCATGATGTCAGGTTATGTCTCGACCTCGATGCAGCTCATTCGCTATTCCCGTGTCCAGACGTCGTGCGTGGCCTGGCCAGTATGACGGATGAATCATGATTAATGTGATCTATAGCACATGATTAATGCTGCGCTTGATCCACGAGAGCGCACTGTACAATATTCAATGGATATCCACTTACGCTGTGACAACATACGAGATTGTTTGTCCGTGGTGGATCGTCACTGACAGTCCGACGATTGCCTTGACTCGTACCTCTGTCTGGTCAGTACACATGCACCAGTTCTATGAAGCGGCCATATATTCGCACCATGCAGGTGTTCATCACAGCCACTATACGACGCCGTTATTGGGTTCAACTGGTTATGCCGTACACTGGCTGGAAGGTTTGAGGCGTGATGATAGGAGGTCAGGGATACCCCATTGACGCCGTCGACAGAATGATACAAATCGTGTCAGTACTAGAATCTTTCATATTCATATAGGTATTCATGACTACGCGTAGATGTCAAATGAGAGAAGCATCTGCATACAGTGAGCAGTAGGTTCCAAATGACAAATTTGGCTATTGACGTACGGGGATGGTCTGTGCTTTCGTGATCGCTAAGTTGCGATTCGGCCCGTTTTGTGCACGGTTCATACGGAATATTTCCTCCTACGAAATATTGTTTTCATTCCACAACTTGCCCTCATTCGCGATATCCGGCTCCTCAGGCCTCATTGCTTTCTATCTCCTGTCTTCTCTGTGCTGGACATCTTCATGTCGCTCTCCATGTCATTCATCAGGTGTATTATTAATGCATTCGATATCTGCTTCACCGGTACGTTTGTCCACTCCTCTGTGGCGATGTCTGCAGCGCTGATTATGTCGTGTCTCCTTCCTTCACAGTCATCGCTCTCGTTGTGTACTACACCTGTTTGTTCTTGTTCATTCCTCCTCCGCCGCCTC